GGGAAACAGCCAACTTCTCTTATATAAACCCATATCGTCCTCCGTCTTTGTTTTTGGCCAAAGGCTATAGTTTATTGCATATATAAGTTTAACTAGATGTGTTTTAATGCTTACCTCATCCCTCGTATCTTGTATGTCGTTGAGAGAGGTTGAAAATATCAGCAGAGGTGTGTTTCAAACACTGACGAGAAAGCAAACTCTAAATTCTTTCTATTCCAACCGTTGCTATAAATACCGAGCTGGGTGACTTATCCACATCCCGCTATTTCACAGAAGAAAAAGGGAGATGATGTATGTGCTGCCTAGGCTTTATGCTGCCCCTCACGTGTGTTTGTATGAGAGATAGAGAGAAAGAGATAGAGAGACCAAGGGAGAGAGAAGAGGGGGGGGGGGCGGGATAAAGGTAGTGTTTCCACGGCAGGATACGAGGGTTCATGTTGCTGACTTGGAATAATTGACCGAGTGACTATTTTTATTCTGATTGTCGGGGAAGAGGGGAGGAGGTGGTATATGTGCAGGTATAAGGGAGAATGATTAGTCGAAGGTATTCACGTTCATAGTTTGTCGTTGATATACAGCATAAGTTAGAGAGAAGATGGTAAGGTGAGATATATCCCCTAGTGACAAAAGGTGTACTGAGCATCACTGTCTTTGTTCTATGATAGAAATCTTTGAAAGCAGTGCATATCATGTACATTATATTCTACAACCCGCGATATCTGCCTTGGACTAGAATAACCTATTGTCGGCACTAGCCTTGGCGGCATCGCGCCTTGCGCTCTGCTTCTTCTTGTCCTTTGCCTCACCTGGTGGCTTAAAGAACAGACTTGGGCTCTCGCCTTGCTTGAGTGTGTAGTTTAGGTACCCTCGATGTGCTGGGTCACGGTAGTACTCGATGTCCTTTCGTGCCGTGGCATCAGGCAACCTGTACTTGTATTTTGCGCCTACTTGCTTCATGACTGCGGCCATGGCCTCGGACTTCTTTTCCTCAGCGGCGGTTTGCAGCGCGGAGAGGATGGGAGATGGGATTTTGACGGCGGAGGAGCGGCTGGTTAGCGCAACGAGGGACGGTGAGGCTTGTAGCGAAATCGTCGGGTGCGATTCCCCGCGTAGCACGCGCTTGATGGCTGTGGGCGAGTAGAAGCGGGTAGTTACGCTGCCGCCGAGGGCTTCGATGCGCTCAATGGCTTCGCTCGATGCCCGGGAGACGACGATGTGGATGGGCGTAGTGAGTTGCTCGGGGTTCTAAACAAGTCAATTAGCATGTGTACCGCATGCCCCTTCTCCCCAATCTTCATACCCTTGCCAGCAGCTTCACTCCGTGTCTCTTTACGCCATGCAAACACCGTGACTTCGCCAATTCCTTCATAGTAATGGGCTTCTTCGGATCCAGTCGTCCCTGGTCAATCCAGCTTTGTATCCGGTCCAAATTAATTGGCGACATCTCCACCTTGAATGGATTGTGCTTCCCCCGCCCTCGCTCGGGATTTGTGATCCATTGTGGTGTCTGACCTCCCTCGAATCCAGCGGGGACTTTGCCGTGTGCGTGTTGTCCCTTCTGACCTCGTCCTGCCGTCTTTCCTTTTCCCGAAGCAGGACCGCGACCTCGGCGGATCTTCTTATTGTAGGCCCCGGCGTTGTCGGACAGCGAAGAAAGAATCGAGGCGCAGCGCTGCTGGGCGGGCAGCACGAAGGCGCTGGCTAGCGGTGTCGTACATGACCGCGAGGGCGACGATACGAGCGACGAGGCGAGTCGGACAGCTCGCACCCGTGGTGGCATGGCTGTTTGTTGGCAATTGGCGTTTGGAGTATTGGTGAGGTTCGACTTGCGAAGATTCGATGATGATTAAGCCTCTGGGGTCTAACCGCATTAGGATGAGCACTCCAGTTGTGAGCATTCTTGAACATTAATTGGAACTATTCTCGGTCATATTTCGATTGCTATAGAAACATGACCCTTTTCAGATTGTTCCAGACTGATTGTTCAGCTTCAAGCAAGTTTGGAGATTGCCCAACTCTCTACACCGCAACGGTTGCTTGCAATGCTCGGTAGAGTGATACATGTGGAATCATGAAGTCGTTTGTTGGTTCAGATCGCAAATATCTCCCGGGAACGAAAAATCGTAGACATCTTGGATTTTTCGTAATCATGCTACCGATCCCCAAACATGTTTGTAGCACACATATTTCGACTATCAGCGACCAAACCAAACTAGCCCTTGGGAATTGTCACCTGGAGTCTACTGTTTGATACTGGCAGCTGGAACAATCTTTGTTGTTTCCAACTTATATAGTTTATGCGTATATTTAAACCTACATAAGATGTTCTAGAACTACATCACTATATACTTATACTACACGATTCTCAATACAAAATATCCGTCTGAATTACTCACCCCGCACCTATATGCTCCCCTCCGTTAAACATCTGTTGCCCGTATATAAGGGAGATTATGCATAATCAAATGGCTTACATCATGTATTCATCCAGCATATCGGAGTGAGTATGCACCACGAAAACGCATTCTCGCATACTCAATCGGATATAAAGACACCGCAGTCACCAGCAGAGGCCGGCAGTCACCTATCCCTAGGGCTGACCCCAGGCTGCCCATCAATAGCACTCCAGAGAAGTGGGGAGTAATCTATCATAATACCCTACCCAAACTTTTGCTATCTTCTCCTGGAGAAAACAGTATGGAAGATTCCGAGAAAGGAAAGAGCGAAGACAAGCATGACAACAACGACGACGGCGACGCGCCCGGCCCCACAGAGATCACGAAGGTCATGGATGACGAGGATATATATGATAACTTTGACGAGAGGGCGGTCGAAGCTGCCATGACGTACGCCAATACCCGGTCCAACACAATGTCGGCCAGACGGATTGCAGAAAGAGTCCATCTGACAGACTGGACCAAAGCCGCGGAAGTGTGGGGGATACGGCTAGGAGATCTCCGCGACCCGCCCGGTGGGAGGCAGATAGTCGAGGTCCCAGAGGCAGCCAGACTTAGTCCCAAGTATGGCTTGTTCCCGCACCAGGTCCCGGGAACCACGCAGCTGCTAGAGAGGGCCCTCGGACCTCTTGGCGGCTGCCTCCTAGCCGATGAAATGGGCCTAGGAAAGACTAATGTTGTCCTAGGCGCGTTCTACCTTAACTACGTTGCCTTATTACGAAGTTACGCGCCTAGCGTGTACCGGAAAGTGTTTCCTGAGGGAACCTTTCCGGGCATGTCAGAAGACGGTAAAGTACACGGTCCCGTCCTAATCTATATGAAATTCTATATTGCCTGCTCCACCCCGAAACATGTGCGACATTTCAAAAGTGTAACGCACCCGAGCCATGCCGTCTAGAAAATTGGTGCAATCAGACTGACATCGGCAAAGGCATGGCTTGAGACACGACATGTCAAGAAACAAACTCCTATCACCCGATTCATCAAGGCGATCAAATGAGGAATCCGTTTTCCAAGGACCTGAATACTGCCGCAGTGCTTTTCCTACTAACTGATGGGGCAACAAAAAAAAACTATCGAAGACGATTTGATCCTCACCTAGCGATTTGGACGATATAAAGAACTGCGACATGTATTCCATCTTTTGGAGATGGAAATTCTATATATGCATTCTGTGAGGAAGGTGGACGAGTACTAGATTAGAGGGATTGAAGTTCTTGTCAATGAACAACCTAGAGAAGGTATGGCATGTTTTGTGGAGTCTTCGTGGGCAGTGCGATGCCGAGTATGATGGCCGAATACTTAATACGTTGCTTGTTCCGCACGTGGGATGGGCTAGACCTGCCGTTCTACTGTGCCGGTGCACAGGGTTACTAGTAACCCTTGGGTAGGAACTATAGTCCAAGTCTGAAGTATCAGATAAGAAATTTCATGTACGATAGATTACAATCCAACGTTGTGAGTTTTCAGTCCATCTAGTTCATCTCCTCAACCTCAACTCCTCGTCCATTCAGCCGTCTACAGACCGTACGAATGAAGGTGAAGGTACTCGTATCCTCCATAGTGATATTCATGGCTCAGCACTATCTACTCCCGTTTAGCGACTTTCGACTACGGGTGACTTTTTCCATTTCTTGATGATAACTAGACGATCATGAATTCATATATACTAACCGAAAGATCTCAAAGCGACGATAGTTTGATTTGAGGCGTTCGTTTCCACAGGGACGCTACTTTGTAGCAATATTTAGAGTTTCTATCGTTGAGGTTGGAGACACTGATGATGGTATGCTTTACTCCTTTGCACCACATTGATGTCGTTCCTTGATATTACAGTTGAGAATGTTAGTCGTAAGATCTTTCAATCAATATACCTATGCTTGCTCATCTCTGAACAATCGAGATGATTTACAGATTTGCAGGAAACAATCATTTCACGATCATCACACTGCATAGGCGTTGTCGATTTATGCCAGAAATAAAACTCTTATTTGGATCACTCAAATTTATTAGCGGGCCTGTGAACCATGACTTCGAACAATTTCCAATAACGTATCAAAAGCCTGAGATAGATATAAAGATTATGTACGACTCTACTAGGTAAGGCCCGGCCATTCGGGACCGCCTAGCCATTCTCTAATGCTTGGGCTTAGCTCATCAAAATATTCAAAGAGGGATTTTAGAACTTTTGACCATAGTAGAGCAAAGCGTGAGATGTGTTTGTTTACGGGAATCGAAGAAGACTGTCGCTTTCTATCACAATCTATTCACGTAGATAGAAGGGTTTGCAAAGCCTCATCAGCACCTCCACGACACGCTACAGAAAGCCCGCACCACCTCATTGAGAATAAGGAGCTCGTTACAGATACAGTTATCAGCAATTAAAGGTTACGTCGCCAATACTTTGACTACCCAGCTTTGGAACGTGTACTAAACATTACCTCAATAGCAGCATCTTAATCACAGTAATTCTACTGTTTGTCGCTATCCTGGATCTTTATTACATCTCGAATCCAACTGTCAATCTCATAATGGTTGGAGTTTTTATGCTGCTCTTCGCTGGTAGCATGGGCCTCTTCACAACTGCGAAACGATATGAGGTGTTTGCAGCTACTGTTGGGTGAGCCACTAGCGATAAGTACCAGTATTTGTGAGTACGAGCTAACTTTTGCGCAGTTATGCAGCAGTCCTTGTTGTCTTCGTAAGTGATAATCTGGGGTCTGATCCATGGCCATCTGGGTTGTGGAGTGGTGGCAATTGCACGTGTACAGGTTCGAGCTGAATGTTTTTCGTAGATAGTAGCAGCAGCCCTGCATATGCAGAAAAAAACATCGGGATAAGGATAAAGAAATGCCCAAAATCCATCATAACACCCAACAACCACTAGTGACCTGATACCGTATTTCCCTACCTCCGAAACGAATCAAAAGATTTCCTTAAAAACTCAGTTACGTGTTTTGTCGCACCATCCCGACCTCATGAAAGTACAAAAATACAAAAAAACATACAACAGCGGGGATTCGCCAGTGGTCACCCACCTGACTACTAGTCCGCCGGTCGAAGGCTTAATGTATGGGGAGCGAACGGGACCCAATGCTGTACTTCGCCGATGGTCGTATGTGAAAGATTTGAGAAAGAAAGCGAAAATTGTATGAGAGAATATTGGTGTTGCAGATGCATGCTATGTGTGCAAGGACGGCACGTGATTTCGCCGGTTCAACGATACCCAAAGCGAATGATGACAACCAGATCGGGACCAGTGTGATGAGTAAAAGAGCATCCTAGAAACTGTGAATATCTGATTGACTTGGTATAAACAAGCTTCGTCCGTATCAATCGCCTGGATATAACGAGCTCCAATCTCTGGTTATGCAGTTATCGTCTCCGCCCCTGTATGAATTAGCCTCCAACAAGCATCATTCTAGAAGTAGATAACTTGCCTCAAAATACCGTCGATCATCCGAAAAAGATACGTGCCGGTCCCTTCTAGCCTCCCTGTTCGTTCTTGCTTCTTCTTGCGCTGAGGAATTGTCGCCTCTCCGTGAACTGTCGTTCATGTATCGCGTACGTTCGTCAAGTGAAAAGCTCGTAGACTCGAAACGCGGATGCCCTGAACTTCTCAGTTGCTCCTCTTCATGCTTTTGTGAGCGCTCAAGATCCGCGATGCGCCTTTGACCAGCTAACTCGATCATTCTTTCCGCCTCGCGCGCTGGTATAGGTACGCTGGAGCCCCATTCGTTGGCCGCATCGCAAAATTCGATGATCTCTAGTCTCTTAACTGTCTTGAGTAAGACTATGAACAAGTTTTTAGGTGTATTGATCCACTTACCATCCGTCATCTCCTCTGGCTGCTCTGCAACGCCGCGCTGTCGTGACTGGTACATGGACTGATCTGGATTCATCTGCATGAACCTGATGGGATATCGCGGTTGTTTCTTCATCCGTGATATGACGGCTGGGTACATCTGGAGGTAGTCGTCTTTCTGACGACCTGATATCTTCGCCAGTGCGTAGTCGTCGCTGAACGGTGCTAGGAAATTCATGAGCCAGATGATGTCTGCATCGCGGCCTGGGTAATATTCAAGACCTCCAATCAATCGCTTTACTAACCGTAGGGCGAAGAGACCGACAATGATGAAATCTGGAGCTGGCGGTGGAGGTGAGGGTCGAACAGGAAAGCGTGGTGGTGCTGATGGCACGCGCCCAACATCAGGGATTGGTAATAGGTTAGGTTGATGCTGCTGCATGGTCTGTAATTGTTGTGTGAAGCAGAATGAAGAGGCACAGAGTGAGACATTCAGTAAGGGAAGTCGCTCGCATGGTC